TGTTGTTGCTCTTATCCTTCTTTTACTTTTATTGTTATTATCATCATTATGTTATTTGTTTGTCGTAAAAAGAAAAATTCTAAACAATTCATACATGTTACCTGAAGGCGTAAGCCCATTATTGCCAATGCAAACAGATAAATTAAAACTTATTACCAGCAAATATTCTGCTATCACAAAGATGCCATGACGATGATGACGATGATGATAAAAGTTAAATAATAACAATCATGATACGACTGCTACTACTACTACTACTACTACTACTGCTGCTGCTGCTGCTGCTACTACAACTACTACAACTACAACTGCTGCTACAACTACTACAACTACTGCTGCTGCTGCTGATGCTGCTACTACTACTACCACTACCACTACTACTGCTACTACTACTACTACTACTACTACTACCACTACTACTGCTACAATCACTACTACTACTACTAATAATAATAAAAATAATAATAATAAAAATAATAATAATAAAAATAATAATAATAATAAGGTCAAAATGAAAGAATGTTTTTTAATTATCGAAAATAATTATAGTGAAAAATGACGTAAGGAATCATTAATTCCGTGATGTAAACACGCACCGAAGAAAATATAATTATTTTGCAAAAAAAAACATTTGTTTTTACGTTTTGTATTTTTTGTTTTTTTTTGTATTAAAGCCAGGAAGCACGGATTAACTATCAGGGTTTTTTTTTGTTCAATGAAGGGAATTTTGGCGAAAATCTCAATCATTATTCTTCATCCTTTAAAATATAATATAAATTAATGTGTATGCTAATGTGTGCGCTTGTTGTGTGTGAGTGTGTGTTTGCTTGTTTGTTTGTTTGTGTGTGTTTGTGTGTGTTTGTGTCCTGTGTGTGTGTGTGTGTGTGTGTCTTTGTGAGTTTGAATGAATGTGTGTGTGTGTGTATGCTTGAGTGTGTTTGTTCTTGTGTGTGTGTGTGTGTGTTTGTTTCCGTGAGTGTGAATGAATGTGTGTGTTTGTATGTGTGTGTGCATGTTTCTTTGTGTGTGTTTGTGTGTGTGTTTATTTTTGTGTGTGTAAACACGTGATGTTTCAAAATATATATTCATTGTTTATCAATACTCGTGCATAAGCTTGAATCCCCGTATAACACACATTCCCTGTGAGAGGTACGGATTCATTTGCATTTGAATCCAGGCACTGCATCGTCAGCGGGCCTAAGCGCCTCAACCATTACAGCATCTAGCCGCTCAGCATGCACTCCTTTTGCTTTAAAAAATTAAAAATTTAGATGTACGAAATTCCCAGTAGAGAGATTCATTACAAAACAAACCACTTACAAGACAGGTTCCCTTGTACCAGGTCACCTATGTATATAAAAAGTTTAAAATCTGTCTTCTTTCTTTGTAGACAATCAACATTATCTGCCGTGAAAATCAACAAGGACGAAGTTGAAAATTTTTTTTAAAATTTTCTCTTAAATCTCAAAAATAAGCACAAAAGTCGGCGCTATAAAAGTGCGGCAAATAAATCAAAGTATCCTGCTTAGTTTTTTTTTATTTTCGTGCACTGGGATAATGATTAAATGTTGCTAGTTTCAAAATTGAGAGCTTTCCAGGAAGTCGGGCGTGTTACAATTTATCATTATTCATTCTTGCCTGTGCAATGTGTTAAGAATATGTGTTTGTGTGTGTGTGCGTGTGTGTTAGTGTGCGTGTGTGTGTGTATTAGTGTGCGTGTGTGTGTGTACGTGTGATGTGTTTGCGTGAAATTGAATGGGTGCTTGACCTTTAAAATAGCTGGTTGACCTTTTCCCCTGTTCTGAAGACATACATAGGTGTCTTGTGTTGATTTGGATCGTCTGTGCGGTAATTTTCAGAAGGCAGATTAGTGCAGAGTTTTTCTCGCCGACATTCCGTGCTTGTTTTGACGGTCCAACAAGTCTCTATGATTAAAATTTTATGAATAAATATAGCGAATTATAATAATAATAATAATAATAATAATAATAATAATAATAGTAATAATAATAATAATAATGATTAAAACCTGTTAACATCAATTTTATAGTACGATTAACCCTATCAATTAACTTGAAGCGTGATTTTATTAGTGACTCAAACTATGTTGAATAACTTTTTTAACGACAAACCAAAAGCCACTTAAGGAGTTCCGTACAATGTTAATTTTTATATTAATATTAATATATTTTATTAATATAATTAATTGAATAAACAGTTTGAAGGTTTTTTTTATAACAGAATTAAAAACGAAAAGTCAACGTGTGTTTCTATATTAGGATTTTTTCATGCCACACGCGGAGAATTTAACGTTTTACCGAAGCCCAAATCTTCAAAGTCGTTGTGTTCTTTTTTGATGTATACATAAATACATCATAGCCTCTGTGCGTGTACAAACTTAAGAATATGTAGTACACAAAGTCACGTACGTAATATGTGCACACCACAAATATTCATCTCACATACATATGTACATTTTTTGCATACACAGATGTACAAGTGTACACATAATCACTGTATAGTGCACTGACTTCAGGTTTCAAAGGTACAAAATGCCGTACTGATGTTACTTCAGAGGTATCGAATGTTTCGTGACTTTTTAATTAATCGCCACATGATAGCCCCTCAGTGACGTACCTTCGTCTCTGGAGATGTGCGTCAAAAATCGTTCTATTTTATTAGGGACGAAATAATTTTACAGCCAGTGAAGTTTTTGACATTTATTTATTATTTATTTATGTATTATGTTTACGTTCATCTTCTTATAAGAAGGAAACACGTGTTAATTAGTTAAATGAAGATTGGTTAAACCTCAGTAATATGTTTACTTTCATCTTTTTATAAGAAGAAAACACATGTTAATTAGTTTAATGAAGATTGGTTAAACCTCAGAATTTCATCTGATTAAAATTTTTTTTTAGTCTTTATTATTGCAGCTCTTTCCTACGCAGAACCACTCACAATATTGCAGATATAAAACCCTACTTATAAGTGGTAAGCAATCAAATCGTCAAGCCTTTTGACAATCGTACAAGCCCAATCCTGTCAGTCGCATTCACATTTAAATTTGCATTGCTACTTAACTGCTCTTGGGATTGGTGTGAAACTTGTCAAGCCTAATTTATTTTTCATACTAAAGAGTGATGTTCTTTCTACATCCTAAATATTTTTACATTCTTAGTTAGATTATATTTTTATTTTATATTGTATATTTTGAAATCACAATGTTTGAAACTTAATAAGTATACGCTAAATAGTTAACAATAGGAGACAATAGGATGATTGAAATTAAGGAAATAAAGGAATTATTTGACCACGCAATCTCACAAAATTGCTAATTATATTTCATCTACACGGTTTAACAGCCATGTAACATAAATACCGATCAGGCAGTCGAGAATTTAACCGTCGGATCCAATAAACTAATTATCGGTACTTTTCTACTTGTAATATTCGTCATATTTGCACCTGAATAGCCGATGAACATCTGCGGCCACTCAATCAATATCATGCTAATACACTTTCAACACATGCCAGTCGTAAATCTCTGCTTAAGGAAATTTGTGTGCTGGCTCCGTATTTTTTTACTCACTTGTTTTTTAAACTGCAGTAATAATTTTTTCAACAAAACGAAAATATGTGGAGACGTATACCTAAAAAATAATAGAATAAATAAATATGCAACCTCTATTGTATAGGCCTGACAATAGTTTCACAACACATGCACATACAAACACACACAGAAACACACACTCAGAAACACACACACAGCTATAGATTTATTTGTGTTGCGTATTAAGTGTACACAATTATGCCATATACATCCGTAAAGAATAGGTTACTACGCAATAATATAACGAAATATCTTGAAAATTTGATTTCAAAAATTCTTTCGGGTCGACAGGGCTCTAGCAAACATGAGATCTGTCTATAATGATATGCAAGCAATCATTCAGAAAGTTCGTCAGATCAAAACAGTTTAGTCTGATCAGATTTTCACATATAATTAATTTTTTTCTACCAAATTTAATATTTCAATTATTAAGTTAAATCAATAAAGTTAAATAATCGCATATCGGTACGTGCGTTAATGTTCACAAATACATATATATGCAATACAATATCTATGAGGCGGGTGAAAACTGTTTGTAACTCGGTAAGAATTGTTTAGCTTATCTAGTAACTAACTAATACTAATATATAATTTTATCAGGTGCAAACATGATAGCTATCAAACGATTCCGAACACCAACCCTCCCAAATCACTTGTTGACTGTGACTCATTTTGGTCTATCGTATATAATTTGTAATATTGTCTTAATTAACTGATTGATTGTAATGAAATTGGTTTACAATAGTCTGAGTTTAGTTATTCCTCAGAGTTTATTCAACAGAAAATTTTTGGATTGGTGACCTCTGTTGTCTACTTATGAAAAAATGTTCTTGATCTGATTAATATTAAGCAAACGGAAGCATTTAAAGTATTTTGATTTTGTGCCAGAACTACGTGTGAATTGAAATGTTCATTGTTCACGTATACATTACACGTCCACCAAATGCAAGAAAACATGGCGTCCCATCTAAAAATGATTCATCATCACAATTATCGATGATTCATTCTTAACACTTGAGAAGGGCAATGTAAATCATTGCTCAAAGTTACAGAAATAAAACATCTCATTATAATTTAATTTTGTCAGTTTTTGCTTAATGTTTCTTTTAGTTTATTATTGGTCAATACTTTACAATTCAGCCGTTTAAATTTTGAACCATTTTAATCCTCCGTATATAAATCAATAATGGTAACATAACGTTGCTACAACAAACATGATGAAGCTAGTATCTAAGCAACAAAGCGCCAAACCTGACCAATAAGAAGCGAGCTAGTTTAAAATGTAGGTCGCAGCCTAAACAACCAACCAATAGGATCTTGACATCTTTTAATGTATTCAAATTTATAGCTGACTATATAAGGCTCAACAGATCAGCGTTTCACATCATTTTCTAATTCTCGCGAAGCTCTTCATCGCTTTTGTGAGGTTTGAAAGTTTTAAAGCGACATTTTCCCTCTCTAATTCAAGAAAAACTCTTCTATCATGGTCAGTGTTATGTTTTGTTGAAATATACGTTCTAGAGCAAGTTTTATTTAGAGGCAATTCAATATTTTGAACCATATCAAACGTGTCTAATCAAGATGGCGTCTGAAAAATTTTAAATGCAAGAGCTCTTCCTTGAGTGAAAAATTTTTTTTCATTCAGCGTGAATGTATCTCAGTTCATGTCGGCCAAGCCGGAGTCCAGATGGGCAATGCCTGCTGGGAGTTGTACTGTCTGGAGCACGGGATCCAGCCTGACGGTCAGATGCCGTGCGACAAAACGATCGGCGGTGGTGACGATTCCTTCAACACTTTCTTCAGCGAAACCGGAGCAGGAAAACACGTTCCTAGAGCTGTTTTCGTCGATTTGGAACCTACCGTCGTTGGTCAGTTGAAATTATTTCATGTTTTGTATTTTAAGTTTAAGTATGATTTTTTAAATTATTTTGAAGTAAATGATTTTAAAACATTTTTGCTTGATTAGCTATATTAGGCATTAGTATATAATATATTTTATACTTGCTCATGGTAATTGGTATTGTGTCAACTAACTACTAATTACTGATAAATTGTTCATTGTTGAATCATAATTATTTCTTTTACAATTTACAGATGAAGTAAGGACAGGAACATACCGTCAGTTGTTTCATCCAGAGCAATTGATCACTGGCAAAGAAGATGCTGCTAACAACTATGCCAGAGGTCACTACACCATTGGTAAAGAAATTGTTGATTTGGTACTTGATCGCATCCGTAAATTGGCTGATCAGTGCACCGGTCTTCAGGGTTTCTTGATCTTCCACAGTTTTGGCGGTGGTACTGGATCTGGGTTCACCTCCTTATTGATGGAACGTCTCAGTGTTGACTATGGCAAGAAGTCCAAGCTGGAATTTGCTGTCTACCCAGCTCCCCAGATTTCAACTGCTGTTGTGGAGCCATACAACTCCATCCTGACCACCCATACAACTCTGGAGCACTCAGACTGTGCTTTCATGGTGGACAATGAAGCCATCTATGATATCTGCCGTCGTAATTTGGACATTGAACGTCCAACTTACACCAATCTGAATCGTCTGATTGGTCAGATTGTCAGCTCCATCACTGCCTCTCTTCGTTTTGATGGTGCACTGAACGTCGACTTGACTGAGTTCCAGACCAACTTGGTGCCATACCCTCGTATCCACTTCCCACTGGCCACATATGCTCCAGTCATCTCAGCTGAGAAGGCTTACCATGAACAGCTGACTGTTGCTGAGATCACCAATGCTTGCTTCGAGCCAGCCAACCAGATGGTGAAGTGTGATCCTCGTCATGGAAAGTACATGGCCTGCTGTATGTTGTACAGAGGTGACGTCGTGCCCAAGGATGTCAATGCAGCCATTGCCACGATTAAGACGAAGCGTACCATCCAGTTTGTCGACTGGTGCCCAACTGGATTCAAGGTAGGCATCAACTACCAGCCACCAACAGTTGTTCCAGGTGGTGATCTGGCCAAAGTACAACGTGCAGTCTGCATGTTGAGCAACACCACTGCCATTGCTGAGGCCTGGGCTCGTTTGGATCACAAGTTTGATCTGATGTATGCCAAGAGAGCTTTTGTGCACTGGTATGTCGGCGAGGGTATGGAGGAGGGTGAGTTCTCTGAGGCCCGTGAAGATTTGGCTGCCCTTGAAAAAGATTATGAAGAAGTTGGAGTTGACTCTGTTGAGGGTGAGGGTGAGGAGGAAGGAGAAGAATATTAATTTGTATCAACAATGATGAACATTTGAATTTTTGAAACATTCGATTAACATTTCTCCTTACTAGTTACAAAAATATTTCATATTGAATTAAATTGACAAGTAAGATGACAAGAATTGCTCTCCTTTTTCGCTTTAAATGAAACTTACCAAAAATAAAGCTGTTTTGTATTTTTTTGGGGATCCGAAGTCAACGGGGATCTGTTTGGCCATTGCAGTGAGAACTAATATATGGTTTCGGTTAGATTTTTTTATATGTAAAAATTGTAGGCCGTTTGGTCTGGATCTTCAGTGAGTTATTTTTTGTTAGTTTAGATACAAATCAAATAAGTTTATTATTTATTACGCTCTAAATAAGCATTACTACATTTTCATTCTAACAGACTACAAAATCACTAAAAATTCAAAATATCCCATAAAATTCTTACCTTTCCGTAAAAAATAGAATTTTCAGTCCCAGTAAACAACTTTCATCACGCTCGTTTCCTAGCGACAAGCGCCAAATGTGGCCAATAAGAAACCAAAATATTTAAAGATAGGTAACTTTCTGATTCTTGCAAAGCTGTTCGTCGCTATTGTGAGATTTAGAAGTTTTTAGGCGCTGTTTTTTCACTTATTCCATCCAATCTTTTCAAATATGGTTAGTATTGTAAATGCTTTTGTTCGCAAATATTAAACATTTTCTCAATAGTTTAGTTTGGTTTTTTATCACAATTAAACATGCTAGGTTGAAGCATTTCAAATTAAAATGACAACTTTATAATTTCTTCCCGTGCAGTCTGCATGTTGAGCAACACCACTGCCATTGCTGAGCCCTGGGCTCGTTTGGATCACAAGTTTGATCTGATGTATGCCAAGAGAGCTTTTGTGCACTGGTGTCGGTGAGGGTATGGGGAGGGTAAGTTCTTTGAGACTCGTAAAGATTTGGCTGCCCTTGAAAAAGATTATGAAGAATTCGGAGTTGACTCTGTTGAGGGTGAAGGGGAAGAGGAAGGAAAAGAATATTAATTTGTATCCTCGTCGAACATTATAAACCTGAAATTTAACAGTATTATCTTCTAATCATTTTACCGAGTAAATGTTTTTTTTTCGTTCTTTCATTTTTTTGTTTAATAAAATTATCAATCTAGTAACTTTGCTGTGTTTGTGTCTCTTGTTCAATATTTAAGTGGCCAGGTTCGCATTCGGTCTGTGGTGAACGTTTGGGGTTTGAATTATGTACATTGCGACGTAAGTGCCTGCTAATTTTGAAATAGGATTTGAACTATAGTAAAAGGAAATCCTTGGTTTAGATCGGCTTTATAGAATTGTCGGCCAGTCTTCATGTAAAATTTGTAGGTTCCGTCATTAATGTATGTGATATTATCCACCATTAACTGACCATTTTATCAACCATTCGATATATTAAAAGATTTTACGATTTAATACTAGAATTCACTCTTCTACTGACGTCAGAGATTTATAAAATGTAAATAAGCAAATGCGTGAAAATATATTTTTTTATTAATTAATTATTAAAGTACTAATCTGCCGGTTAGTTGGTAAGTTGTTAATTTATCCGCAAAAATTTACTCCATTATAGATTATTCAAATTTGTCTCCAACTCTTAAAATACTCCATACATTTTTTTCATTCCATTTTTTTTTTGATTTTTATTTGTGTGTCTTGTCAAGTTTTAATCTGTTTTAATTTAATATTAATTAAATTAAATTTTAAATCTGTTAATTTTTCAATGTTTTTTATTTTATAATTTATTTAATATTTAATTATATTATTTTAATTATATTATATTATTTTAATTATATTATTACATTTTATTTAAAAGAAATTCAACCTGTTCTAAAAGTGAAATAATGATTTTTTAATTTAATTTAAATAACTTTCAAACTTATCACTGATTGACTGAATTTTTTTTAATAAATTTTCATAATAATATAATATGTATGTATGGCATGTATGTATGTATTTGTGTTTGTTTGTTTGTTTGTATGTATGTATGAATGCATATGTGTTGGTATGTAATTATGTATTTATTGAAATTATATTTAACTTTTTGTTATACTATAGTTCTATACAGCTATACTATATATTTTTTTATTCTTCAGCTAATTTTCAACTTTACTACTACAACGATAAATGTTTCTGAAACCAGAAAAACAAAGAACAAAAAAAACAAAGAACAAAAAAAACAAATATGGAGTCAACATTACCATCTCTACCATCATCAGCATCTCGGCACATCATCTTTCCATGGCACCTAGATAACTGGATGGAGATTAAAAATTCACTAACTGAGTTGAAATCGTCATCATCATTATTAGCAGCAGCTGCTGTTGCAGCGTCATCGTCGTCTTCATCGTCGTCGTCATCATTTTTACTTGAGTTAATTGAGGAGTTTGTTTGGAGATTAGAGAAAATTCATGATTTGGTGACAAATGATGAAAAGCCTGTCCATCCAAATGTCAGTTCTTCATTGTTAATTTAAACATTTTTTTGTTTCATGATAATGATGATGATCATGATGGTGATGTTGATAATGATGCTGCTGTCGTTGTTGTTGTTAAGGATGATGACGTTGATGATGATGATGATGATGGAGAGGGCTTTATGACATTTCATACTTTAATTTTGTATGACAATTGGCAATTTTTTTATGTATTTAAAAATGTAATTTTGTTAAGTCCACTTTTAAACTTTTATTTCTTCGTCGATCCATCCAGCCATTCAGTCATTCATTTATTTATTTATTTATTCATTCACTCACTCATTTATTCAATCAATCAATCATTCAATCAATCACAGAGTATTTTCAAAAAGGCCAGGTGTTAATTATCCTCTCCTGTGTCTACCATCAGTCTCTCATTCATTCACTCATTCAATTGTTTGTTGGTTCGATCTATTTATCATTCAACCATTCACACTATCTATCTTTCGTGCTATTCATCAATTCACTCATTCATTCATTCAATTCACTCCGTCAACCAAAATCACACAGAATATTTTCGAAGGCCTGAAGTATTATCTACACACATACCTGCCGTCTTCATCATCGTCAGCGCCACAGCCACAACCGTCGTCGTCGTCGTCAGCGCGGCAACAATCGCCACCACCACCATCATCGTCGTCGTCGTCATCGTGTAGCAGTGTCATCAGTAAATATTTTTGTGAAATCTTCCCACATGTCATCGACAGACTGCTGGCTATTGATAGTAATGATTATGCTCCATTCTCTATTCCTGGTTAGTTTTGGACAAAAAGTGAAGACGACGACGATGATGATGACGACGATGATAATTAATGATGATGATGATGATGATGATGATGATGATGATGATGATGATGATGATGATGACGACGAAATTTTGTCTCATAGATGGCAATGCCATCATCAAACAACCAAGAACCTCTATACCTCAAATGCTTGCATGCTGTCTGCTGGGTCTGATGCCTCATCAGCAACAACAACAACAGTTAGGTCAGCAACAATCACAACAACATCAACAATTGGGTCAGCAACAATTAGGCCTGCAACAGCAACAACCTTATCTGGATTTTACTTTTAAACAATTATATTCCAGTGTGTTGGGGTTGGTCTCAAACCTTTTTTTTATTCATTTATTTGCTTATTTGTTTGTTTATTCATTCATTCATTTCATTCATTCATTCATTCATTCATTCATTCATTCTTTCATTCATTCTTTCATTCATTCAGTCCCAATAGCCTAGATGCATGCCAGAGGTTGCAATGCATTTTCCAGTATTTCGAACTTCTTTTAAGGAACGTCTTCAGCTCAGATGGTGAAGATGTTGTGTATGCTAGGCAGGTTTGTGTATGTTATTGTTTGTTTGAGTGTGTGTGCGTGCATGTGCGTGCGTGTCTCTCTCTCTGTCTCTCTCTCTCTCTCTCTGTCTCTCTTTCTCTGTCTGTCTGTCTCTCTCTCTCTTTGTGTGTGTTTGTGTGTGTGTGTGTGTGTGTTTTTATCGTCCTCACCATCACCACATCATCGTCATCATTCTCACTCATCAGTCCCTCAGATCATTACCATCACTATCAGCCTGGTTGAACAGCAACAACACCTTATGCACCGTTTGCATTGTTGAAGAGGTTGGCCATCGGGTCCGTGATGTTAAAAATGGTGTCTTGGTTAGTTTATCTTACGTTTGTTTGCTTAATTATAATTAATTATTAATAATAATAATAATTATTATTATTTATATCGCCGTAATTAATCGTCGTCATTATGATCATCATCATCATCATCATCGCTTTATCATCGTCGTCGTCGTCATCTTCTTCATCATCATCGTTGTTGTCAGGTCTTTCTCACAGATGATGGTCTCAATTTCAAAGATTATTCTACTAAGAACACTGAAGTCTGTTTGAGTGAATGATTGAATGAATGAATGAATTATTGAAGGAATAATTAATTGATTGAATGAACGGAAGCACGAATAAATGATTGACTGATTGACTGAATGAATGAATGAATTAAGGGATAAATGGACGAACAAACTAGACAAGAAAAAATTTTTGTTACTGCCATTTATTGCAATAGCTATGGATTTTACAATCCATTAATCACTCACTCCACTCCTCTTCATTTGCCCATCACTTCATTCATTCTTTTAACCATTTTTTCTTTCTTTCATTCATCCAGATAAATCTTTGCTTCACTGAATGCCCAGAGCTTCTGTTATCCTACCTCATCTTTCCATCCACCAGCCAATCAGCCAGTCAGATTCGTCAGAATCAGGCCGGCCAGTTAGCCAATCAAATTCAACCAAATCAAACGACCAATCAAATTCATTCAAGTCAGCTCATTCAGTCAGCCAATCAAATTCGTCAAAATGAGGTCACCCCCAATAGAAAAACTCAGGCGGTTTTTGTTAAAGGGGCACACAGGTTTACCATATTTCCTCCAACGCCTTGCCCTAGTATTTTATCTAGGTCAAAGGTTAGAAATTCGCATTTGATGAATTTGTTTTGTTATTTTTTTAAAAGTTTATATTGGATTGAATTTACGCCATTTCAATAATTGATCGATGATTCTTGTAATATTAATTTCTCCAGTCAAAGTCTATCTTACTGGTAAAAAATGACCCATTTTCTACACCAACTCAAGCAAATGTACTGACAACAACATTGACAACAACATCATCAAGCACAACCACAGCAACCAAATCAGTATTATCGTCAGTATCGGTTGCAGCAACAACATCAGCAACAACACATGTCTCGCAACCACTACCACCAACAACAACACATACCACAACAACAACAACACTTACAACAACAACAGCAACACATACAACAACAACATCAAAAACATCATCAACAATTTCAAAGACTAATATTGAGTTAACTTCAATTTCAAATCTATTGACAACAACAACACCAACGACAATCACATCAACAACTATTACGTCATCATCGTCCTTACCAAGCCAAACAAAAAACCAAAGAACTATTTGCTGTCTGCAGTTACCTACCATAGATAACAAAGCACTACCAATGCTTAAATACAAACATAGAACAGTATTAAAAGAACTAAATCGATATCTATGTGCATTCCAAAGAATAATTAGTGACAAGTCAAAGGATGATGATTATGACGAAATGGTCGATAATAGAGATAACGATGATGACGATGGTGACGACGACGATGATGATTACAATCACTCTAGTGGAAATATACAATGTTGGGGCTAATTTTTCCACTTTTTGATTATGATTAGGATTACTAACTGTTTGAATGAATGAATGAATGAATGAATGAATGAGTGAATGAATGAATGAATGAATGAATGAATGAATGAATGAATGAATGAATGAATGAATGAATGAATGAAAGAATGAATGAAAGAATGAATGAGTGAGTGAATAAATGAATGAATGAATGAGTGAATGAATGAATGAATGAATGAATGAATGAATGAATGAATGAAAGAATGAATGAGTGAGTGAATGAATGAATGAATGAATGAGTGAGTGAATGAATGAATGAATGAATGAATGAATGAATGAATGAACAAACGAATGAATGAATGAGTGAATGTATGAACAAAGGACTGAATGGATGAACAAATGAATTAATTGATGAAGTGATGAAGATTGATTGAATGTATCTCTGTTAATTTTTCTAATTTTTGATTAGGATGAATGAATGAATGAACGAACGAATGAATGAACAAAGGACTGAATGAATTAATGGATGAATTGATGAAAGATTGATTTTATGTGTCTCAGTTAATTTTGAAAGGTCATTGACTTTCTTTACTTTTTGATTCAAACACAACAGCCCTAATCTCAAAGTTCCTGTCATCGGCATCTTTTTCCTCATCTTCACCACCGCAGTACTCAAAACATCAGCAACAGCAGCTTCATCATCATTATCATCATCATCAGCAGCAGCAGCATTCTCACGATCATCATCATCATCATCATCGCCGTCACCATCAACTTCATTACCATCACGGATCCAGCGAGTCAGATGATTATGTCAACCTAATCACCGATGTACCTTCATCACAATCATCGCCATTGTCAGCACCTTTGGCGCCATTACAGCCATCGTCATCGTCGTCTTCGTCGTCATCACTTCATCAGCCTATTTACAAACAACTCAAATGTCAAACAACCACACCGGCCACATCATCGTCGTTGTCGTTTTCATCCTTACCATTCTCAGCTGCAGCAGCAGCAGCGTCATCGTCGACGTCATCATCTGCAGCATCTCACAGACCCCTGCTGCCGCAATCTTTCTTCTCGTCATCGCCGTCACAACATCAGCCACACACCGCGGCTATGACGTCATCGTCGAGGTCGAAGCATAGATATTGGAGGAGTACTTCCTCCACTAATTCTAGCTTTTCTATGGAGTCCAGTGTACATACGCAGTCAATAGAACTTGAGAATTCTCTATTGTCATCATTTTCTTCCTCATCTATGGCCATCCCGGTTATGAGCTCATCTACGTCATCATCGTCTTCAGCGGTTCCTGGTGGTGGCGGAAGTGGTGGTGGTAATAGTAGCGGGGGTTGCGGCAGTAGTAGTGGGGGCGGTGGTGGTGCTGACGAAGGGGCTGTAGGATATTCAAGGTATTTTTTATTTACATTTAAAATTTGTCTAATGTGTGTTAATTTTTTTCTCCCTATTTAATGTTCTCTTTCCAATCAATTATGCAACTCTGGAGGTGTTAAGCTTACAAAGACCGCCTTTTATATTTTAAAGAATTTTTTTTTCTTTTCTTACATTATTCTCGTTAAGAGAGTGCAAGGCACACAACACAACACAACGTAATATCAAATCACATTACATAACATCACATAGTTTCAGTAAAGAAATATCGTTAGTGAACAGAATGGATGAGTTGTCCAAAACGAAATTTCTTAGTTATTATTAGCATCTGTTAAACTTTGTTTGCTCTAAAACATTCATCTTGATTTAATATTCATATTTCTCAAATGCTTTTCGTGTATTAATAATTATTAACCGTTATTATTCACAATTCAATAATATTCATTAGATATTAATATTCATGAGTCATTAATATTAATTATATTTTCTCATCTTAAGACGTCGTAGTTCTGGCCTGCAGTCAGTGAGCCGTAGGAGTTCAGGCCTCCCATATCAGTCATCAGAGGAGGGGCTTATGTTTGGACGAAGGAGGAGTTCTGCCATGAGTGACAGCTCTCAGAGAAGT